TTATAAAGTATGAACAGTTCCTGAACCACACCCTTAAAATGTATATTCAGTTGTTGGAGTGGCGCTAGGGCTTTGGGTTTTATAAAAGTTTCCTTAGTAAATCTAGTATGTAGATAATCACTGGCCAGATAAGAATAGACAACCAAACTATCAGGAGCAAACACACTTCAAGGGCAAGAGGAGCGTTCCTTGTTAAGCTTGCATAAATATGAATCCTCTCTGCTGCCATCTGCTCTTCTCATTGCAGGTTGAATGGCCTTTTGTTAGCAGGTCCTCTATTAAAAGAGTAGCTAGGTTGTAACCCTAATATTAAGTGATGAAATAACTCTCAGGTTAAAATACACCCATTCATCAAATGCACGCAGGTGTAGCTAGCACCCAGCAGTTTCTTGCCTTTCAGCAGATTATATTAAGGTTAGATTTTTATCTGAAATGGACTACCCTATGCTAAAAAATAAAAGAGGGATTTTAAAGGTGGTTTATAAACTCGTTAAAGGTCATGTCTACCTGCATGGTCTTGACCAATTCTTGGTTGATTAACTGGAGTCATTATGAAGAGTGAGGAGTGGGGTCAGGAGATCACCAATAGTCCTATTCATCATTAAAATTGATGGGCCAAACAGACAAAGGTGTTGTCATCTTTAGATGTTATCCAAAAAGGAAAAAGCAAATATCCAAGTCAATTAAGTATTATGGTTTAAAATCACAACAAACGCAAACCAAACCTATTTCTGACAAGTTGTTTTTGACTCCTCGTGACCTTATAAGACATCGAACTGTTCATTGGAATGCCAGGGCTTAATCCTGCCACACCTTAATCCTGTGGAGCAGCTGGGGGATTAGAACTGCTGACCTTGCCATTGTCCATGAAGCACCTAACCACAATGTCACCGTTTCTTTTTTAAAGAGCATTAAGCATTTCTCTGTGACAAGATTGTCTCATGAGCAGCCAGTTCTTTTCCATTTCCTCTTCCTTCGAAGTTAAGAATGACTCCTGCGTTAGACGTAAGCGTGGGTGCTGTCCCCTGCCTAACTCGGCATCCCAGGGTGAGGCCTCCTGGCTCAGAGCCTCCTCCTCCTGGTTGGGTCATCACCCACATAAGGATCCTTGGAGAGGAAGAAAGGTTGATAATTTGTGGTGTGGAAAGGGTTACTCCTGAGGCTACTCTGTGCAACAGAAAGCTAATAGGAAGATGATTTTCCTGATTGATAGTCGTCTTTTCCCCTCAATACAAGAGAGTGCCAGGAACCCCAATCACCATTAAAATCAAGGCTGGCATATGTGAAGTGTTCACAATCCTAATAGAATGAGGAAATAAATGGATCGTCCGTTTGCCCAGGGATAAAGTGACTATTGTTAGTTAGTTGCCATCAAATCAGTTTCACCTCATGACTGTTACACGCAGGCAGAGTAGAATTGTGGCACAGGGCTTTCGGGGCTGTGACCCTCCAGAAACAGATCACCATGCGTGTGTGTCTCCCAATGCGCTTCTCTGTGGGTTGGGAGTGTCAGTCTTTGGGCCTGTAGTTGAGTGCTTAATTGTTTGCATTACCCAGTGACTCCTTGGTCAGCTGAGTGTATAACCCCAATTCTGCTCACCTGAAGTGCCTCCAGTTCTCTGAAAAGGTTGCTCCTCTAGTCTGTGGTCAGTTTGTTTCAACGCTGTGTGTTGTGTGGTCATTTTTTCTCCACTTTTCCTTCAGTTAGATAATCAACAGCCAGTCATTTTCAGAAGCGACTAAAGCTCTTGTCTCTTGGAGATTCTGTACCGTCTCAGCTAGTAGAAAGCCTTCTTCCTTTTGTTTGTCCACTCTGTTCTCCGGTCCAGAATTTTCTTCACGACAGTCAGCAAATTATTAAATGCACTCAACCACATACTCAGTAAAGGCAGGGATTCTGACATATATTTTTCTGTATCCCAGTACCCAACACTGTGTCTGGCATGTTGTAGAAGCTCAGTAAAAGACTAAATGAGCTTTCAATTGAGCCAGTTATTTGTGATTTTCTACAAGAACTGAGAAAAGATTGACTTTTCCCTTTTCAACCAAAATGAAAATTCTTTGTTTATGATCATAGATATTATGTTATGGTCTGTTCTGTTCAATTGAATTCTTCTGACTGCTTTTTGGGAGACACTTTCTACAGCCCTAGTGGTGTAGTGGTTATGGGCAGAACTACGATCCACATGGCCAACAGTTTGAAACCGGCAGCAGCTCTGAGAGAGAGAGAGAGAGATTGGAATTTCTGCTCTCCTAAACAGTTTCAGTCTTGGGACCCCACAAAGGGTCTCTGTGAGTCAGCATTGACTCAGTGGCAGTGAGTTTGGTTTGGGTTAGATAGAGCCAGTAGTAGCAGATTGGTCTATTAAAGTTGGAAGTTCCCCAAGGCGTGCTGGTATCGTTTTATTAACGGTACCCAGGTGATTCTAATAAGCAGCTAGAGGTGAGAACCAGCGCTTTAGGCAATTCTGGTGCCCAGCAGGGTACCCGCCCCCCCTTTAAAAAAAAATCATCTGCCTGTGGAAGACCTCAGACACTTTGTCTTATTTGCAAAGTACTATTGTTGTTTGAATAGCTTTGTGGGACCTGAGAGCTCACCAGTTTTCAGGCGAGGCCAGTAACTCTCAGCCTTACTTCATGATGATGATGATGATTATGATGATGATTTTATTTGCGTATTATTAGGCGGAATGATTTGCCTTTTAGTTAAAAAAATTTCCCCCCAAAGCTATGTGGAAGAGCAAAGAAAAGGGGGGAAGGAACCCTGTAAAAACGACAGTGGCGTGTCCTATCCATACTGGAAGTCACTCTTTGGTACTAGAAGGAATGGGATCTGGCTTCTGATGGAATCTTTGGAATCTTCAGCCAGTTACTGCCAAGGAGAGACAAGAATAGCAGATGAGGGATTTAAGGGTCTTCAACTTTGGCCATGGTCATGATACACTTGACAGAGTGGCTGGAAGTTGAAATGGTGGTCCTGGGTCTGTAACTTATCTGGACAAGCTCTACTGTTTGCTCAGGTACCTGTTTTCACCCGTGGATGACTTCCCTGGGTGCAGACAGTGGAAGGCTTTAAAAACTGCCAGTCAGGTTCTTGCTGCAAGCAGATGAAGCAAAGATTTCTGAGCAAAAGATTAGGTATTCACATTTGGAGAAATGCAGGATTTGTAATGATAGAAGAAACCAGGCCATTCCCCTCTGAAACATAAGTTACATGGATCCTCCTGGGATACAACCTCTTATAATATTTTAAATAAATTCCTATAAAATAACAACAAGAAAAACAAGTGTCCTGTGTACCTACTATAGAAAGTACAATAAATAAATAAACAAACCAGTTGCCATGTAGTCTGTTCCAATTCATGGTGACCTTGTGTGTTTCGGAGTAGAACTGTGCTCAGTAGGATTTTTAGTGGCTGGATTTTCAGAATTAGACACCAGGCCTTTCTTCTGAGGCACCTGTGGGTAGACTTGAAGCTCTAATTTTCAGTTGAGCACTCCATTTAGAAGAAACAGATGAAATGTTTCCATATTTGCCGCAAGTTGTTTTATTCTTTATTTTTAAATAAAGATTTATTTAATGCTTTAGCTTATCCCCAACCTTTAGTTTCTTTGAGTTGATTATTCTTCCATTGTTGGAGTTCACAAGCAAATGGTTTTTGTGCTTTCATTGTGTATCTATATATCCATGTAAACCAGTAATATGTATTCAGCGTGCTTTTGATTTTTCCAGCTGATATTCATTACTCATGATGATATTTGTAGCTCTAGTTTGTTTTACCAATCTATTTACCCATGATCTACAATGATCTAGTTTCGAAATACACTGGGTGCATTTCTTAAGTATAAGCTACTGGGCCTGCCTTCAACCTCTAAGTCTGAGCTGGCCGTTGGAAAATGGCACTAATGGTACTTACCTGATAGGGTTGCCATTCCTCTCTGGGTCTGCCTGATTCCCTAGACAATCTAATAACCAAATTAGGGAAAAACCATTTCCTTATCTAATGTCAATTAAAATTTCTAGGAAAAAATGCAGGCAAGTAGCAGATAAAAAAGCCTTGTGTAGCTATTAGATGTATCATACCATGGAGGTATTTTTTTTTTCTGGCCATCTTTAAAAGCAACCAAATTTAAGAAGCCAAAGTATTGTTTGTCTCTTATTCTCTGCGCTCCTTTTCTCAAAATATTCCCAGAAGAGCTTTTCTAGAGCAGAAAATGGACAAGAAAGGGGCGAAGACAGGAGAGAGAGAATGAATAATACAACAAATGGGCTTATCTTGACTGTTTTTAGCTTAGACTTTTAACCTTGGGGCTATGTTCAAAGAGAAAACTTCCTTTTTTGCACAACTCTCTCTCTCTTTTTTAAAGAAATCATTTTATTGGGGGCTCTTCCAGTGCTTACAACAATCCATACATCATTGAATCAAGCACAATTTATACATATGTTGCCATCATTTCCAAAACAATTCTCTCTTTTTTAAAGTACATGCCACTTTAGCAGTTTCTACATTGCTAATTCTATATTAAATCTAGAATGCAGGACCTCTGGTGGGTTACACATTGGGCTGTTAACCGCAAGGTCAGCAGTTCCAAACCCCCAGCCCCTTGTGGGAGGAAGATGAAGCTCTGTACATCTGTGAAGCAGATCTCTTGAAGGGAATCGGAAGCTTGGGTAAAATGCACTTCCCCTGAGCCTTGGAAGGAGCCCTGTTGGTGTAGTGCTTACGCCTTGCTGGGCTGTCGACTCCCATAAACAGTATCAGTCTGGGAAACCCACAGGGGGTCACTATGCGTCCCCAGTGATTCGATGGCAGTGAGTTTGGTTATGGTGGTGGCCCTTTGAGTTTGCTCATTTCTGAAAGATAAAATCATATTAAATCTTGCAGCTCTTTTGGCCTTGAGGGATCCTTAACCACTCACTGCCTTAGTCCAGAAAAAAATAAAATAAAATAAGGTGTCTGTCCTTATCTCTCTCTCTCTGTCTCTCTCTGTTCTGTTAGGAGATCCTCATCGAAACATCATCATGTGGTTGGACCACCGAGCTGTGAGTCAGGTCCACAGGATCAATGGAACCAAGCACAGTGTCCTCCAGTATGTTGGGGGAGTGATGTCCGTGGAAATGCAGGCCCCGAAGCTACTGTGGCTGAAAGAGGTGAGCGCGAGGGATTGAGGAGGTGATGCTCGTGGGATTTTCCCATGAACTCTCGGAGGACTTCCATTTATTGCAGACCCGTGCATGCCAGGCACCCTCATAAAGCATGGCTCTGCTTTACTTTGCCTATTGACTCCCTTTGAAGGGCTGATCCCATTTTGGGGCTTTCCCACTGGTCGTTGATTGATTGGGTTCCTACTCACGGTGATCCCATGTGTGTCAGAGTAGAGCTGTGTTCCATGGAGCTTCAGTGACTGATCGATCAGCTTACAGTTAAATGACTGCCATTTAAATATGCTGAACTCATGCCGTGCATTGGGGTAAGTATTCCATGCAAGGGTGGATCTTCTACAATAACCTTGTAAGGTAGATGCTTTTGTTTTTGTTTTGTAGAAAAGGGAAAATGAAACATACAAAGAAACAGATTAACCAATTAACTCAAATGGACACTAAATTTGTGACTGAAGTGAAGCATCTAGTTATTCTTGATTCTGTGACTCCCACAACATGTTTGGCTACTGGAGGCCCACCAAAGGGATCAGAGAGCTTGATAATAATGACAATAATATACATGAACCCCTCGCAGAGACTATGCAAGTAAGCTATGTAAACCCTGGCAAAAGGGTTGGTTACTTTGGCCACTGTGGTCATCTTAAAGGGAGTCCATCTCACAAGCAGGGGTGGAAGTTGTTCACTACCACTAAGCAGTGTGTCTTTTGGGCCCTGGGACCCTGCGCTGAGAACCTTGTAGATCTAGGAGACAGAATTGTAACACCAGAGACAGTGTGCCTGTGGGCACAACCAAGACGCTGTCCTGCTTGAAGACCTTTCTCAGGAGTCATTCCTGATCTGAATGGGAACCTTGTGCTTCTCTAGTAAGTCCCATTATTGTGATTGTTAATTCTGGATGGCTATTGCGGCAGATTGTTGATTCCAGAGGAGAATATTGCCACGGGAGAAACAAGATATCCGAATTAGTGAGGGAGGGGGGAGTTTGGAGAGGGGAGGCATGTCTGATGTCTGACCTCTACCTTGTATGAGTCAGCTTTGAGCTGATGTCCTTTCTCCCACTCTTTGTCAAGTTAGAGGAAGTCTGACATCACCGCAACCTTTGTGTGTGTGGAAGGGGGGGGGAGGGGCGGAGGGTAGGGGGAGGGGGCGGCAGTGACAGCCCAGATTTAAACCTAGGACTGGCTGATTCCAAAAATAATTTCTCTTACCTGTCCTATACTCACCTGAAGTTCAAGAGGTTAGTTACCCTTCCAATTGGAAAGTGACTGAGCGGGGATGTAAATCCATATCTCTAATTAGAGCCTTCTCGTTCCATAGACTGTAGCTTCAGATTATTAGCCTTTAACCCTTTTGACGTTTTTAGGGAATCCCTTTCTCATTTCACTTGAACTTGAGTTTCTCTATCTTGAGTGATAGGGTACTCTCCGGTTCGAGCACTTGCAGGTGGTTCCCATTTCCAGATGTTAAGACTTCTTTATGAAGTGTGGAGAGTGGTGATGTCAGCTTAATGGTTCCCATTAGAGATGGATGTGTGAGAAAGTTCAAGTCCCTGGGGAACCTTGGAGGCTAGAAATCCTCTAGGTGGTCTGGGAGGAGGGAATCCATCTAATGAGCCGGACCTTGTGTGATTCATTTACTGGCTGTAAATTTGAGGTGGGCTGAGGCTTCAGTCCCTCTAAGTGGGTACAGGAATGGGAAGAGCTTAAGCGAACTGAGGATGTGCCCCATAATCACTCCAAGGGACAACGGGAGTGGGGGTGGGGGTGGGGGGTTACTTAAGATGGGCTTCAGTCATTGAAGGAGGTTTGACTTATTATCAGTTCTACAGTGAATCCATTTGGTGCATTTGCATTTTCAGAAAGGCCTCTAGAGTCTGTAAGAGTTTGAAAACACTCCGTTATGTGAGGTGTGGATTTTAGGAATCTGATTTGGACTCTACCAGCAGTGCATTGTGGGTAGAGCATGCTTTCTGCAGGCCTTACTTTTTCTATCAGTTTGAAAACCTGATCCAAATCTATTTCTGTGACTACAATACAAGTCAGGATAGAAAGGTAACTATGTTACTCCGTGTCCACATCCTGCTCTGTGTTTTATAGACATGAATTGATGTATCGTAACAAGTTCTGCATGGTAGAGAGTATGGTGGGCTATCTCAAGTGATGAGATATGCATGCAACTTCTGCACAGTGAAAAAAAGGAGATAGGAGAAATTTAGTACATTTGAAGTAGTGTGTTGGCAAAGAATCTTGAATAGATCTTGGACTGTCAGAAGAACAAACAGATCTGTCTTATCAAAAGAACTATTCCCCCTCAAAAAGCAAAAACAAACAAACAAATAAAAACACTGGAATGCTCCTTAGAAATAAGATGAGGAAATATCCCCTTGTTTAGTTTGGACACGTCATCAGGAAAACACTGGTCCCTAGTGGAGGTGGGAGGACCAACGCATCATATATTGGTAGAAACCCAAACCAAGCCCATTGCCATTGAGTTGATGCCAACTCACAGTGACCCCATAAGAATGGGTCGAACTACCTCACAGAGTTTCCAAGGCTGTAAATCTTCAACAGACTAGGCTGCCACATCCTTCTCCTGAAAAGTGATTAATAGGATCAAGCAGAAGCTTCTCCCCTTAGCAGCCAAGTCTTAACCACTGCAGTACCACCAGGCTTCTCTCATATTTGGTAGAGGAGTAGTGAAAACAAAGGGAATTGTTATTGAGGGTAATTGACACAATAGCCACAATGAAGAAATCAAACACAACCAAGATCGTGATGAAGACACAGGACTGGGCCATGTTCTGTCATATCAGTCACGATTTAGTCAACTTGGCAACGAATAACAATGACAACTGAGCTCCAGATCCCAGCTCATTCCATCCGGTCATGCTATGCTGAAATCCCTTCTATGAAATGTGCCACTTGGGGGTGGTCAGTAATGGAGACCATGGTGTTTTCAAGCTGTCCTAAACTGATTTCAAGAAAAGAAATGGGTTGACCAGATTGTCTCTTTGAGTATACAGCGACTATCCCTGAATTAATCCAGTAAGATAGGGAAGATGCTCACCGGGACATCATTAGGATCTTTTTGACCACCTGCTGTGTGGCCAGCTTGGGGCTTAGTTTTGCTGGAGTTAAAATTAATTCAATTAGCATGAACCTTTCATGATACTTAACTGCAGTTGAAATCAATCTATTTTAAATGTAGTCCATCGAGAACAATTAAGCCCTAGACTGCATGGCCACGATTATGGCCTTCCATGGTAATCTATTTCTTTTTTTAAAATTCCCTTTAATTTTCTGTTTAAGACTCTGAACATTACTTCTTCTGTATGTATTTGGCTACCTGAAGTGAGCCTGAAATCTGTTTTTTAAGCTTTCTTTATTCTTTAGATAAGCATACATAGGACTCCTTCCTGAGAACCCCTTTGATTTCAGCATGTTTGAAAATTTGAAATTAAATATATTTCCAAAATCAGATTTAGCATCTTGTCTTTAGAGCCTAAGCAAAAAGCAAAACCAAACCCACTGCCACCAGGTTGATTCTGACTTACAGTGAACCTACATAGCGTTTTGAAGACTACAAGTCTTTATAGGACAGATAACCTCATCTTCCTCCTGCAAAGTGGCTTATGGGTTTGAACTACCAACCTTGTAGTTATTAGGCCAGCGTCTAGCCCACAGCAGCACCAGGGATCCTTACCATGATGACCTATACTGCTTCTTAAATGCTGATGTACAAATGAACCAGATGAAGTGCAGATTCTGATTCCATACATCTGGCATGGGATCTGAGAATTTACATTTATTGCAATCTCGCAGGGGATACTGATGCTGCTGATCTGTGGATTTGTAAGACCACTGCCAGTCTGTGAGGTTCAATCCTTTTTGTTAATGATCAATGATCATAAACACTTTTTACATGAGAACTTATGGGAATCTTGGTGGCTGAATGGACAACATGTTGGGCTGCTAACCATGAGACCAGCAGTTCTAACCCACCAGCCCCTCTGCAGGACAAAGATGAGACTTTCTATTCCAGTAAAGTATTACAGTCTCAGAAACACACAGGGGCAGTTTTGCCCTGTTTACGGGGTCACTTTGAGTCAAAGCAGACTTATTGGTAGTGATTTTGGAGTTTTTGAGGAGGCATGAGGAAGGTATGTAACTTTAATGCAGCTGTTCAACACCATATTAAACAGAAATTCATTGGAACATCATTTGCTTCCTCTTGATTCATTTCTTAATATGTCAAATCTTAACTGAGCTCTGAACCCGCTCGAAACTAGTATGTATCTATGAGCAGCCCAGAGGATATGGGCCAAAGAGAACTCAACCTTACCCTGGAGGAGTGGAGTCCACTGCGGTCCGTGGTCAGTGAGCATAAGGTAAGGCATGGGTGGAGGGTAGAGAAAAATATGGACACGGAGTCACCAGAAGATTGACTAAGTGCTGTGATGCAAGAAGCACTTTGTTTCGCAGAGGCCACAGTGGAGACGAGCATCAAAATGTGAGTGATGTTTCACCTAGCAGAGAAGACTAAACGGACATTCTAGGCAAAGGCTGTAGCTCGTGTGTGTGTGTGTGTGTGTGTGTGTGTGTGTGTGTGTGTGTGTGTCAAGGTCCCAGGGCCAGAGCCTGTCTTCGTCCCTGGTTCGTGTAGTAGTCAATGAGAGGAGGTGAGTAGCTGGGGTCTCTTTGGTGGCAGAAGTTTGTTTCTTGTTTTTAAGCAAGTGAGGGAATATGTGATACCATTGGCAGGCACGTGAAGATTGGATCCTCTAGGGACACCTGTGAGCTCAGTCTAGCTGAAATGACGCCTGCTGCCTGCTATTGACTGGCTGTGAGCTAAGAAAGGTCTTAACACCCCGAAATGGCTGAAGACAATCAGAAAAAGAATTATTTGTGACAAGTGAAAATTAGTTGACGTTAAAGTGCCAGTGTTCAACAATCAGCTTTATTAGAACACTGCTACACTCACAAGGCAGA